GGCCGTTTTCACTCGAAACGAGGGAGGATTGTGTAAACCTGAACGTCATATTAAAGCCAAACGGCACAATGGGAACAACCAGTGACCTTCTGGCAAGATCTACATTTAGAATTTCTTCTTTATGCAAAATGAAAGTCTGCCCAACAATTATATCTCAGATGATTCATCCAAACCGAATTAATTTTTGTATCTATAGCAGCCCAAATGTCAGATATGCACCTGGTCCAGTGTTCCTCTGGTCTGGCGAGGTGGAATTATCACTTTTGCCGGGAGACCCACCTCTCCCAGTCGTCAGGAGGCGAGCAGCCGCCGCTTGGCCTAGTTCGAGGCTCGACAAGACCATTCCGTCTGAACGGGTAGCCAGACGTTGCTCGAAGTGCCGCGGGATCGCCGGTGGCAGAGCCCCAGCCCGCATGTCGATATGAAGTGGGCAAGCCATGGCCATGGCATTCGGCGGGTCACCGGTTGGGTTGATGTATGCCTCTGCGACAGAGTCCTGACAGGCGGGAGGATCGGATTCAACCAACGTGAATGCGTCGGGATACTCGAAAGACTGGCAGGAATCAAGCACCAAGTCAATACTAGTCATATCCCTGAGTGTAGAAAAGCTGGGGAAAAGGAAAAAAACACAAATCAGATAAAAATATTGCTAACTTTTTTGTATTCAATAGCAATTGTTTGACGTTTGGCCTAACAGAAAGGATGGATAAATGTCATAGAAATTGTCGCGATAAGAAATTGTAGAATTTAGGCATTAGAAATAACTCAGAGAAAGGGAGGGTATTTGAGAAGAGCTAAAAAAAACAGAGACCTGACTTTGCGTTTGCTTGAGAGAACTACTAAGATGTGGGCATAAAAACGAATGTCAAGAAAAATATGACATTTTCTTCAGTCATGCTTACTTTTAGAGAGAAATTGTGTATGCTATCCAAGTCAGGCTGTTATAAAATAATGTGTTCATGTGGTGACTTTTGGGTTGAAAAGACTTTTCGTCCCATTCGACAAAAGGTGGATGAGCAAAAAAGTGCCCCTAAAAGCCGTCAGGTGCACAGATAAAGGAACGCACAGCAGAAACTGGACATGAGATATAATGGTAGCAAATTTATCGGTTTGCCGATTGTGGTATGTTTGCAGCTAAGCCAAGAACGAATTATGCTTAATTAATAGACTTAAGGAAACAGAGGGTGGAGTTGTCGGAATTTGGCCTACCATGGACTTGATGCAATCCTATACATTTCGCAGTAAGCCTTTCCAGTCTTAGCACCAAGCTGAAACTCATTAAAAAGACAAAGAGAGCCCATTCCTTGACCAGCTTTGTGTTGAATGGTCGTGATATATTTCTTCTAGTCCTGAGCCAGAAAAGAACAGGACCACATTTTCCAACTTGTTTACACTGCCTCATGCGTTTGATAGCAGTTTTAATATAGCCATACTGAACAGACGTAATACTCAAGAAGGTATGTGAGAGTCTGAAATACCGTAAAGAATTATTATGCGTTTTTAAAAAGGATCGAAAATATCCAACTTGAACGAACAAAACTGTTGTTGATGCATATGTACAAAAATTTCTGGAGAGTCGCAAATAGCCTTGATGGATCGTGGCATAAGAAGAGGA